TGCCACATTCCAGGAAACAGAACAAGGACTCCAGGAAGAAATTATGCCTTGATTTTAGATACTAAAAGGTCACATTCCATTCACCAAATCTTGCAGATGTTGTAAAGCAAAAAGCATCATGAGGCATTAAGTATTCTCTTTGTGAGTTTAGAGGGTAAACAGACTCGCTCTTTCTCTAAACTTCAAATTGGGCTGTTGGCTTTCCATGGATTTTGTTTTTCAGCTCTTTGTTGTTGCTGAAGTCAAAGGCAGGCTTCCTTGGCCCATCAGCAGTCTCATCTGGCCCAGTCACAGGACTCCTTTAGAAGTGTCCTTACAAAAGTTACAACAAGGAAAGCAGTGACATATTTATCTCAACAAGCTGCCTGCATGGCAAATATAATTTAAAGGATCTCTTTAAATGATTGGGAATTATTTAAAGATGTTTTAACTGGAAGCACATGCTTTTTGGAATTTTACATTTGTTTTATATTTTTTTCTACTCGGTTTTCATCCTGAGTCCCTCACTGTTTTAATTAAGTAACGTTTCACTTCTCTTGAGATTCTGATTTCTTCTCTCTCTTTCGTTTTCCTCTTCAGACACAACTCACTCTGACAGAGGCATTTCCATAATAAATTCTATTTGTGTCTTGCAATTTTTCTGTGCCCACCACTCTAGACAGAGCTCCTATTAATCCCACCTCTCTTTTCAGCCACATTTCAGATATACATATTCTGGAAACATCACCAGAGACACACAATATATGTGAATACCATCTTCCTTGGTTACTTTTTACGCATTGCTGAAGCAAAATGCCAAACACCCTAAATTAAGGAAAGAAAGGTTTATTTACCTCACAGTTTGTGGAGGTTTCAGTCCATAATCAGCTGGCTCCAAACCAGAGTGGTAGAGCACAGGGGCAACTGTTCAAGGTGGCAGAAGACAGCAAAAGCAACAAGAGGAAAATGGGGAACAAGCCTCTTTTTGTCCCTTATTTTGTAGGGAGGCTACCCCACAAACCCCACCAGGGCAGTGTAGTACTCACACTATTTCTGTTGCCACCTCTTGCACAGGATGAGGGTGTTTACAAAAAAGGGATCCTGGCCCTCTGCTGAGTTGTTTAGTTAAACTCCTAAACTTTTCAGGTTGAAACGATGTATCAACCATAACACCATTTTAGCTTAATTGAAGAACAGGGTTCACAAGGTCAGGTTTGTGAATAAATCAAGGTTAGTTTAATTAACCTGAAATTGGCTTGCACTAAAATGATCTTCGCATGTTTTCCTGTAGACAGAATGCCATTCTCAGTCATCTAATTTTAAGCCTGGCTAACCATTTTATTTACTATTTCTTCAAAGCTCAGCCCAGTAATCTTCACTTTCCTGTGAAGCTTTTGATAAATTCTACTTTTCTGGCATTGTTTACCATCATGTACACTTCTAGAAAGAGCTAACACTGTCAGGCAGAGTTGATGTCTTCTTTGTATCTATATCTCCAGGACCTGGCATAGTTATTGGTACAAAATAGGTGCTCAATAAAAATTGAGTGGATGAGAGAATGAAAGAGTGATTCTACTATTGAGGAAAGCACAAAGCTTTCTGAATTACAAAAGCTGGATTTGAATCCCAGTTTTGCTTGTGTGATTCTGGTAAAGTGATATAATTTTCTGATCCTCAGTTTGTTCTCTTGTAAAATGAAAGTAAAAGATACTGCAATTTCTTATCCTGAGGGTTAAGAAATGTGATGTATTTATTTCATTGTTTATTTTTAATATGTTTATATTGCATAATGATTACATTTATTATTTGAGTGTTAATAAATGTACATAATGTGTATTAATTATTTTTTCTACTAACACTTCCATCTCTCCCTGCTCCTTTCAATGCTTGGCCACTTTCTTATTTGCAAAACTACTACTATTTCCATGGTTTAAATTCTTTTTTCCTCGTCACAGTCCTCTTGCTTTTATTTCCTTCTCTGAAATCCCTCCTTCCCTATTTTAGGTACTTTCTTGTTGGTGGAACAAAATATATGGAACCTACAAGTTTATGGAGAAAAGGTTTACTTTTGAAAGGGTTTTGGCCCAGGCCAGACACTGTAGCTGAAAAAGCCTCAAGCAGAACCAGGGAGCTCCTATCTCCACCATCCCTAGAGATTTACCTGTGACTCTATCTCCTCCCACCCTTAGGAATCTGCCCCTGGCGCCAAATGTGTGCCAATGAAATACCTGTTCATTTCTTAGGCTACATATATACCCCCCACACCACGTGTCCCCGGAGAGATCTCCGGACTTCAGCGGCCGGGGGGGGGGGTGTCAGTTATCTCTTTCCGTGTTCTCAGAATAAAGGCCTCTTTTGTTTTATACTTCTCATCTTTTCGAAATAATCCTATCATTTGGTGCCATGACTTGATCGGCAGGCGATTGACACCTGGGACACACCCGTTTTGAGTTCCCAGTTGAGGCCCTCAGCTGATTCACGAACCAGATAACATCCTGGATTAATTCCATGCTTTTTCCTCTCCCAAGACCCGTTTGACTTGTCCCCAGCCTCCCACACTCACCACCGACCAGATTGATTTCAGGTGAGCACTCTCTGGGGAACTCTTGGCGTTGGGCTCCACCCAGTCTACTGTTCTCCCCATTTGTATGGGTCTGTGGCATTTTCATGTCCTTAGGACATGAAATCTGGGCAGGGTTTTTCTGGGCAAACCTGAGTCTGTACTCTAAAATCTTTCACGTTCTTTGGGTTTGGATAGCCCAAAGCAGAGATTTTTGGACCACCCACACTGAAGGACCCTCACTTGCCTTAAAAAGCCTCATGCTTTCATGGGCAAAACTGTCACTGACCCCATGTAGTCTCCACTCATAAATCTCTCAGTGACGACTGGAATATATGAGCTTTTGGAACCTTAGCCGCGGTGTGGCACCGCAGAACCAGTGACGGCTTGTTCTCTGGACCACAGCTTATTTCTTGCCTGAATCAGTCATGGGAAACATATTTTCTAACTTCCAAAAAACGCCTCTACAATGGTTAATTTCCAATTTATGTACTCTTAAGATTAAAAGTACCATAAAGACTAAATTATTAACTTTTTACTTTCAGGAGGTCTGGTCAACCTATCTGCTTATCGACAATAGTTGGCCCAAGGAAGGAACATTTGATCCCTGTATTCTCCAAACTCTATATGATTTTTGCTGGGCCAGTGACAGGGTCATAGAACTTCTGTACATAGAGGTATTCCTTGTTCTGAAAACACACCCTTCTCTCATTAAGTCCTGTAACCCCACGCAAATATTCTTAGCCAGCTCTGCTGTGACCCAAGCTGTTTCGTTGTGCTCCCAGTATATGCTCAATGATGTTCCTACAATTTTTCCCTGGCCACCGCCTGCCTACCCCCAAACTGGTTCCTTGCCATTACCTCATGCCAGACCGCCCTCCCCTCCCCCATCCCTGATCCTCTTGGCAGCTCTGGTACCTCTGTGCCTGTGCAGAAGTTACCTCCCACTGTGCGATCATCTCCTTCTCAGCCTTCCGTGATGCATTCCTCTCCCAGCAGCTCTGCTCTGCCCTCTGCATCATTTTTGCCACCCGCCCACCACACTAGATCTCGTTTGTTGTGCCATTCCGGCAAGCAGCATGATTGTTCCAGCTTGTGCCGGGAACAGTCACCATACTGGGGCCCTCCACTACGTGACAGGGCGCCACCATGTTCGAACGGGTCTCATGGTCAATGGGTGCCGCCATGTTCGGAAGGGTCTCACAGTCAATGGGCACTGCCATGTTCGGATGGGTCTCACGGTCAATGGGCTCCCCCTTGTGGCTCCTCTTGTGAACAGCAACAGCCGCCCTGTTGTGGTCCATATGATGGTTGCCGACAGCAATTCTTTCGTTGCAAGGCACACAGTGAGATGCCATCTGCCTGTGTTTCCTTGTCGCAGGGTGAGCAGCAGCCGCTCTGTAGCCACTCTGCAGATAATTGCTCACACACATCTATCAGACAGATAGCCCAATGGCCCTCTACTCCACATTCTTCTCCTCAGGCTCTGCTACTGCTTCAAGAACAAGCTGGCCCTGAGGGGCTGGTCAATATACATGTGCCCTTCTCCCTTTCTGATCTATCCCAGATTATTCATAAATTAGGTAGCTTCTCTGTTGACCCACAGAATTACATCAGGCAATTTGAATTTATTAATAATTGCTATGACTTACATTTTAAGGATGTTTATGTGATTTTAAATATCACCCTAAGCTCACAAGAATGAAATCAGCTGTGGCAAGCAGCTCAAGAAAAAGCTGACTGCAGGAATAAGGCAAACACCACTGATAACGACCCTGAGCCTGTAACTGTGCCAGACCAAGATCCTAACTGGAACTATCAGAATGGACAAGGTTCAACAAAATTACATAAGATGATTGAATGTCTGATTGTGGGCCTTAATAATATTGCTCACAAGCATACTAACTACAACAAGCTATTAGAACAGGTCCAGGAGGCTAATGAAAACCTGGCTGTGTTCCTAAATCGGCTTCGGGAAACCTTACTTAAGTATACTAATGTGACCCCGGACTCTCATGAAGGGATGATTGTTGTTAACTCTTATTTTATTTCCCAGTCTGCTCCTGATATTCGTGCAAAATTACAAAAGGTTGAACATGGCCCTCAAACTCTGCAAGGGGATCTACTTAAATTAGCTTTCTGTATCTGCAACAATAGAGATAAGATTCAAAAAGAGAAGAAGCAAGCTCAAAAATTAAACTTTGCTAAATATCAGTCTGACCTTTTAGCAGTGGCACTCAGAGCTCCCAAGACAAGAAATCCACAACAAGGTGTGGCTGCCCAAGTACCACCCGGACCATGCTTCAAATGCAGCAAACAAGGACACTGGGCAAAAGATTGTCCTAACCCTGGTGTCCCTCTAGGGCCCTGTCCATACTGCAACCTTAAAGGGCATTGGAAGAGTGACTGTCCTAGCCACCAGCGAGCGGGTAAGCCATCCTCTAATCCCTCACCCTCACAGGAGACTTCATCAATGCCAGATTCGTCACTGACTGACCTGCTCGGACTTTCTGCAGAAGATTGACGGGGCTCAGGGCTCACAGCCCCCACTCTGGTAAACTTGTCGGAGACCCAAGTCTCACTGGAGGTCTCAGGTAAGATAATATTTCTGCTTGTGGATACGGGGATGAATTATAGTGTACTTCCTGAATTTTCAGAACCTTGTAGTAAGTCCTTGATTTCTGTTGTGGGCAGAACCTTGTAGTAAGTCCTTGATTTCTGGTGTGGGCGTTGATGGCCAGCCTAATCAACCTTTGCAGACTGGGCCTGTCTTGTGTAGATTCCAGACTCTTTTCTTTACCCATATCTTCCTAGTAATCCCAAGATGTCCTGCACCCCTTTTAGGTAGAGACTTTCTTCAAAAGCTTAATTTTTCCTTCACTTTCTCTCTCCCCACAGCCCTAATCCTCCAAAAAGCCTCACAATGCATTGCAAAGCCATTTCTCCCCTTCCTTCTTCTTTTGTTGACCCCATGGTTTGGGACACATCCAATCCTACTCTGGCTACATATGCCATGCCTGTTTTAATCCATCTCAGGGATCCCTCAATTTTTCCCTGCACTCCCCAATACCCCATAACTCCCCAACATTTAAGGGGATTTAAACCCATAATTAAGCAGCTTTTAGACAACAGTTTTCTTATATCTACCCATTCACCCCACAATACTCCCATTCTCCTGGTATTCAAGCCTGATGAATCCTATTGCCTGGTACAGGACCTTAGGGTAATTAACAGTGCTGTTACCCTGACTCACCCAGTGGTGCCAAATTGTTATACCATGCTCTCTCATATCCCTCCCTCCACCACTCACTTTATAGTTATAGATCTTAAAGATGCCTTTTTCACTATCTCCCTACACCCTGATTGCCAAAACCTCTTTGTGTTTACATGGACTGACTCAGACACTCGCAGGTCTCAACAACTTGCTTGGACAGTGTTGTAGTCAGGGGTTGTACACAGAGAACAATTCAGGTCAGGACATGGAGTTTATAATATTTTTATAATGGTCACTGAAAGTTAACACAGGAGAATGCAGGAAATCTATCCGCAAACACCAACGACATAGATTATTTAAGTCAAGGGTCTAAACCCCATGGCAATGTCCCACATGAGTCCAGATAAAAACCCAGAGCTCAGGACAATGCCTCCACGAGTCCAACTGGAAGTCCAGGGCCCACAAGGACTCATGCCAGTCTCTTTTACGGATTTGTGCCGGGAAGACCCAAGAGTCAGCGGTGGAAGCCAGAAAGTCCATGCCAGCAGGATGAAGGAGCTGTGCTAGTGGGATGAGGGTTCTACACTGGAGCTGAGAAGTCTCACTTACAACAAAGAGCGGGGCTGTCCTGAAAGGAACCACAGCTGTCCTCAGTGACACGGAGGCCCTGAGCTCCTCCGACGACAAGCACAGTCGGGAACGTGCCAGGAAGCAGCGTGACGAGTTCATCCTGGAGACCAGGCAGCACATGTCTTCCCCTCCAGAGCCAGGAAGCAATGCTCGATGTGAAGACCAAAGCTTCTCCAGGAGAACCAACAGCTCAGACAGCAACTCGTAGGAGAACTAATAATGCCTCCATAACGCCTCAACCCCTCTCCTCTCTCCACCTCTCTTCTTCTCCACCTATTTATTCTGGCAACCCTTCTCAGGTGGAGCATCTTCTCTCAATGCATGCTGATGTAATCCAGCTGGCGTTAAGTTGACCACTAGTTATCAAACCATAACAATCCACCCCTGGTCAACTTAATAACCACACGCATTACCTTAAACTATAGTCCTTAGTGGCAGATTTGTTACATTAATAAAACAATTACATGTATTCACAATTTTTTACACTTAATTACTGCATCAAAAACAAAACATTTAAAGGGTGACCAAAGTTCAACATTAAAACAGACAGTGCTCCCCCAAGGGTTCAGAGATAGTCCCCACTTCTTTAGTCAAGCTCTCGCTACTGACCTCACAGAACTTGATCTCATACCTAGTGTTCTTCTTCAATACATAGATGACCTTCTATTATGTTCTCCATCCCATATGTTAGCCATACACCATTCAGCCAGTCTTCTTAATTTCCTTGCTAGTCGTGGATACAGGGTCTCTCCTGCTAAAGTCCAGATAGCTTCCCCAAAAGTCAAATACCTAGGTCTCGCTCTCACCCCCACCCCTCGCTCCATCACCTCAGATCCTAAGGCAATTCTTCATGATCTCCAGGTGCACACAACTAAATGGCAGGTTACGTCTTTCCTAAGTTTAGCTAATTTCTTTTGTCTCTGGATTCCTAACTTTGCAGCCCTAGCTCAACCCCTCTACAAGGCCACTAAGTGTCCCTTATCAGAAACCCTGGACCTTACTAGGCACATACATGCCTCTTTTCAAAAATTGAAAGAGGGTCTCCTAAAATCTCCAGCTCTTACCCTTCCTGATCCCACCCAACCTTTGATCCTATACGCTACTTCTCAGGGCCACAACATTATAGGTGTACTAGGACACAAAAAGGAACCTTATTTTCAAGCAGTAGCTTACTTGTCAAAACAGTTAGATCACACAGTAAAAGGATGGGCTCCTTGTTTCTGAGCTCTTACAGCTGCAGCCCTCCTGACACAGGAAGCTAAAAAGTTTACATTAGGGCAATCTATTACAGTACACTCACCTCATCACCTACATGAGCTTATCTCACATAAGGTGCTCCCTGCCCTAATGACCCCTTCTTGCCTTCAACAGGAACATTTAGCTCTCTCTCAAGACACTTGCATCTCTATTGCAACTGTTGGTCCTCTTAATATAGCCACCTTACTTCCCACCTCAGAGGACCATCCTCACCATGACTGTATTGAGTTTTTACAGATGACTCCCACCTCTTTCCCTCACGTCAGTAGCATACCTCTCTCTTTGGCCTTTGACACATGGTTCAAAGATGGCAGTTCAACAAACACAGACAACTAAAAGAAGGCAGGATACACAATAGTTAACCAGTCAAAAGTTATAGAAGCAAATCCACTGCCACCTGGCACCTCGTCACAGAGGGCAGAACTTATTGCCCTTACAAGGGCTCTTACACTAGCAAAAGACAAGATTATAAATATACTCAAATATACATTTAGCATTTTACACTCTCATGCCTCTCTATCTGGCAAGAACGAGGTTTTATTACCACTCAGGGAAACCCCATCCTAAATGCTCCCTTTATCCTTAAACTTCTAGAGGCAGCCCAACTTCCAAAGCAGGCAGCAGTTATTCATTGTAGAGGACACCAAAACTCTACAGATCCTATTGCTCAAGGCAATACCTTTGCAGATTCACAAGCCAAGCTAGCTGCACAAGGGCCCTGCCCTTCTCACCTTCTCCCGTTAGTCCCAAACAGTCTACCTCAGCCTAATTATTCACCAGAGCAGTTACAGCTACTTCATAAACCAGGTTACACACAAAACACTCAGGAATGGATTTTTCAAGGATCAAAACTTGTTCTTCCACATCAACAGGCCTCAGACATCATCACTGACTTACACAACTGTTTTCATATAGGATCACAGGCCCTATACAAACTCTTAACCCCAATAGTCACACACCCTTCTCTAAAAGCTATCATTCTTAAGATTACTTACACCTGTGATCTCTGTGCCAGGACCTCTCCTCAGGGACGTATTGCACCCCCATCCTTTCCTACCCATCAGTTTTGAGAACACACTCCTGGTCAGGATTGGCAGATTTTACACACGTGCTCTGCCACAAGACTCTAAAATATCTTCTCACCTTTGTTTGTACCTTTTCAGGATGGATAGAAGCCTTTCCCACAACCAGGGAAACTGCTGATGTAGTTACCAAAGTCATATTACAAGAAATCATTCTCAGGTTTGGTCTACCTCTGAGTATTCAGTCAGATAATGGTCCCGCCTTTATTTCTCAGATCACTCAACAGGTATCCTCGAGCTTACACATCACCTGGCACCTACACATCCCATACCATCCACAATCCTCAAGAAAAGTAGAAAAGGCAAATGGCCTCATAAAGACACATCTTACAAAACTCACTTTAGAACTACACCAACCTTGGCCTCAACTTTTGCCCTTAGCCTTAGCCAAGCTCAGGGCACTTCCCCAGGCTCCTACTTTCTTAAGTCCTTTTGAACTTATGTACGGCAAGCCATTCTTACTCCACAATCTTCCTACTCCCCAAAATCTCCCTCCCCTGGCTGAGTATGTCCCAGTCCTCTCCTTCCTCTGACACCTGTTGTGACAACATGCTGATCTCTGCCTTCCACAACCCTCTGGAGAGGCCAAACCAGATCCTCCTATATCCCCAGGAGATCTAATTTATCTCAAATGTTCTACATCCACAAGACTACAACCAAGGTGGAGTGGCCCTTATCTGGTCTACTTGGCTACCCCTACAGCGGTCAAAGTTGCTGGACTCCCATCCTGGTTTCACATCACTCAGGCTAAGAGGTGCCCTCCCAGCCCTAAATATGATAATTCTGAGTGGTCATCTCATCTCCTATTGCCCACCCATCTCCGTTTCACAAAGGTCTTGCAGCCACAGTTAACAGGCTAAGTCATGTTTTGTTATCCACTTTGGTTCCTAATTTCTTATGCTCTACTAATGATCATTTTTACAGCAGGACTCTTGAGAGTCTTTCCTAAAGACTCCCACATTATGCATAAGATCATCTTCATAATGTTCTATGTGATAACTGTTGTTGTTCTTTCTACCCTCAGCTGTCTGGTTAAACATGACATCCCTGAAAGCCTAAGCCCTTAATTTCCCTATACTGGTACAGCCACTGCCTTCCCTACTCCCCTATTGTTTCAACTCCTGGACCAGAGACAAGTTTTACACACCTACCCTCTTAACTTTTATGCTTTCAGATGGGGGAATAATCACCTCTCATAACTTCACTCCTTCTAACCTCACACTTAATTTTCAGAATTTTACCTCACCATGATAATGATCCTACCTCAACGTCATCCTGATATAATGACATGCCTAAATCAAAGGCACCTTTCCCTCTACCTCACCTAGGTCCTTAAATATGACAGTGCGATGTCTCCTCATAACATCGTGTTTCTTTGTTTTTCCAGTCTAACATACATGCATTCACCAGTGAAGTTGTCCTGGCTAAAACACCTGGCATCAGCATCTACCTGGGCATCAACTGTCATCCTGTTGACTCCCGTAGACTCCAGGACAGCGCCCCCTGCCAGCAGGAAGTAGTTAAAGAAAGAAATCTTTGCCCCTTTTCATAATAAATATAAGACGGGATATGAAAGGGTTTTGGCTCAGGCCAGACACTGTAGCTGAAAAAAACCTCAACCAGAACCAGGGAGCTCCTATCTCTCCCGCCCTTAGAGATTTACCTGTGACTCTATCTCCCCCCCCACCCTTAGAAATCTGCCCCTGGCACTAAGGTGTGCCAATGAAATACCTGTGCATCTCTAATGGCCCCAGGGCACTACCCTAAGCTTAGGCTACTTATATACCCCCCACACCACGTGTCTGCCAGAGAGATCACCGGACTCCAGCAGCCGGGAGGTGGGGGTGGGGGGTGGGGGTGGTGGGGGTGTCTGTGTTCTCAGAATAAAGGCCTCTTTTGTTTTATACTTCTCATCTTTTGGAAATAATCCTATCACTTTTGATCACAGATTGTAGAGGTTTCAGTCCATAGTTGTTAAAATTGTAGGCAGGTTGAAATTGTAACATAGAATGTGAGAGGAGAAACAGCTCATGTAAAGGCAGGGAGTAAGCCACAAAGCATCGAGGGAGGAGGAGAGATATATACCCTTTCGGGACATGCCCAAGGTAACTTAACTCTTTCTACTGGGTTTCACCTTCCAACATTATACCCAGCTGTAAACCCATCAGTGGACTAATCCACTGAAGATTATCATGCACCTTGGATCCGATTAACTCCCTAAAGCCCCACCTATGAATGCAGGAGGCTTTGGAGGACACCTATATATGAATCAAAACATTCTATCCTCCAGGCCTCCTCAAGACTTGGGCATATCCTTTTATGCAAAAGATATTTAGTTCATCTCTGAGTTGCCAAATTCTTCATAGTTTGAGCATTGCTAACAAGTCCAAATCTAAAGTATCATCTGAAGTTCATGGCAAGCTTTTAGCCATAAGCCCCAATAAAAATGAAGGGAAAGTTAAACACTTCCCATATACAATGGCACAGGATAAATATTCCCACTCCAAAATGAAGAAATAAGTGAATAGAAAAGAATAAAACCAAGGAAACACCGAAATCCAGCAGGGAAAACATTAAGACCTGTAGTTTTATGTGTGGACCTGGGGGCAATATAAGATATATACTCCAAAGATTTTCCAACTCTTACAACACTACCAGTGGGTATATTCCTCATGGCCTCTCCCTTGGGCTGATTTTGTTCAGTCTTTGTGGCTTTTCTCTGACATTCCACATTACTGGCTTTTCTAATATGCTGGGATCTTCATTGCACTTTCACCTTCCCACTCAGAACTATATACACTGCCCTCTCAAAGGAATATTACCTGGTAGACCAGGCCTTCAAAACCTGGATGCAAGCTTCCATGATCACACAACTCTTACAATTTGCTTGAATTAAAATCATTACCATGTGGATGATGTCAACATCTTCTTCCAGCTATGGCAGTAACTGAGTCCATTTGCATGGATCTTAATGGTGGTTGTAAGGGCTTCAGATTGGTGAATTCTAGAAAATCAACCCCATTCCCTAAGCTACTATGATACATTAAGATAATTTTTTGAGGCTTTCTTCTAAAAAAATTGTATCATCTTGCAATTTGGAGCTTTCAAAGGGTGGCACACAGCTGGTTCTTGTGATATCCTCAAGCCATCTTTTCTGTTGTCTTGTGTGGGAGACAACTGGACCAGTGACGCCTTTTGAATCCAAAACAATTACTATGACTTTGATTACTTGGAGACTCATTTCCTTATACTGATATGCAAAAAGCTGGCTAGGGTATTTCCTTCTCTCTTCAATTGGTTCTGAGCATTGCAAATAAGGATAGCCAAGGTGCTAATATGCAAAATATATGACCATCACACAGTCCTGTTTCCTCACCCTGTTCTGCACAATATAGGATTGAGTTTGCGAGATGTTAGAGCAAATAGCTCCAGGAATCTCAACTGGGTAGGAGCCTCACAATAAGAGGCTATGACTCCCTAGGGCACAAGAGTTTGCTTATCACAAAGCAAAGTGATAGCTCCCCAAAACAATTCCACTGCTACCTTAATTGGATTATCTTTATCTCTGCAAATTACAGAGATGCCATTCTTGCACCTGGCCAGCCAGCTCAAGTTACTCAGTAATCCCCAACATCCTCACTATCACTTGCCCCTGAGCCACTCCTCTTTCTTCACAAGATAATAAATGCTGGGAGAGGCCTAGGATCAAGGCCTTTGTCTGCATGTCCTCACGGGGATTGGATTTAGGATGCCTTGACTGCCTTTAACTTGGAATATGTCTTGGTGTCTTTATTCTCACCATGGGTTGCATTGATGGTGGTAGATTGGAGTTAACTTTCTAGGATTGCAATAACATCTCAGTGGGATTGCAAATATAATTTTTTGGATTGTTAGGAAAACTAGAAAGAGGATTGCAATACTTAGATAAATGAACTTGATATTTAGGTTTACAATAATCTTGTTGAAAATTTTGACATTTTAATGTACATCTTTTCAGCAACCAAGTTCTCTGCTTCATATTTTCAGGCTGTGACTTTATCAGAAGTTCATATCTGGTCAAACTCAAAACATTTTACATACTTCTACTGGGTTATTTACACTTGATTTTCAACTTCGAGCTGGCTAAAAAGCACCCAGCAGTAGACATGACATTCAGTCAACAATAACCTGCTGTCATGGTTTATGTCAGTGGCCCCCAAGCCTCATGCCTTTGCATTATGCATTTGTGATTGATTCATTGTCTAGTGCTTGGATTGGGGGTGTGAGTGCTACACCGGCCTAGGGATGGAACCAGCATGTGATGTAATAGCAGGAAAAAGGTGTGTCTCTTTCTCTTGCTGGTTTCCACTTGCTGTGTGCAGCCACCATAAACTGCAGCCCTGCCATGCCATTCTGCTTTGGAGCCAACTGAGTATGGACTGAAAGCTCTAAAAACTGTAAGAAATAAACTTTTCCTTTCCCAACTTCTGGCATCAGGTATTTTGTCTCAGTGATGAATAAAAAGTAACTAAGACATCTGCACTGAAAATTCATTTGACTGATTAATTAGTCCACTGCCCTTAATCTCAATCTGATGCAATGTATAAAGACAGGAGCAAAATATAAACAAATTTTCTGCCAGCACATAACACATACGACCTGGAGACCAACTGCCAGGGCAGTACTTGTTTCCAACTAAAACCTCCTAGTTTGATCTTAACTGCCTGAATTTATACCAGCACTCTGAACTTCTGAGCTCTTACCAAAATCTCCCATTAAGCTGGGCTTACATTGTTCTGGGACTCCTTCTTCAGTTGGTATCTCCAAAACTTTCAAAACACCTCCCAGATGCCAGTTCCAGTGGCTTCTGAACTGCATCAGTAGGTATCATTTCAGCAACTCCATTTCTCTGATAATTAAATCTGTGTTAATTAGTATTCAGTAGAGGAACAGAATTAATATAAGATATAATAAATCTCTATGTATCTATCTATCTAATCTATCTATCTATCATCTATTTATCTATCTACAGAGGTTGGAGATCAGAAATATCCAGTCAAAACTCAAAAGCGAAAAGCCTGGAGATCACTGCAATGTCCTATGTGAGACAGTACAAGGAAGCTCAATATTCTGCTCTGAAAGACTAAAGAGACTATGCTGGTAGCCTGGAGACAGATATCCAAAAATTATGGCAAACAGTGGAGCAACTTCAAGGGAAGAGAGTGAAAAATTCTTCTTCTATTTTATGATTGCTTTGGTGAATGTTTTGAAGACTGTGTTGAAGAAGAGCATTAATTGTAGACATCCTTCTTTATTTCTGATTTTAGAGAAAAAGATTTCAGCATTTTTAATTTAATGTGATATTGTTAGTAGATTTTCACAAGTGGCTGTTATGTCTCATTTAAGGATGTCCTCCCAAATCCTCATGTGCTCATAAGTGGGGTTTTTCAGATGTGGTTGAATCTAGGGTCTGTGGGTATGGATTAAGGATGTGTGAAAATTAAATTAATTCACTGTTTAGTTTGGCATGGTTCTGAGTTTGGATAATGGGAAGGCCCTCCTAGGTGTGGGTGATAACAACCCATAGGCTTGTAGCCTGGATGAGATAAAAGAGAAAGAAAGGTTTGCCACTAATCCTCATTTCTGCGTGCCCTGCCATGAACCATCACTCCTCTGCCATGCCCATTTGCCATGTTTCCCTGCACTGGAGCCAGCCAACTGTAGACTGAAGCCTCTACAAGTTGTGAGCTATAGTAAAACTTTTATTTTTTAACTAATAGATGTTAGATATTATGTATTAGTGATGAGAAAGTAACTAAGATAGTGGGTTTCAACGGATTGAGATAAGGTCCTTCAATACATAGTTGAGCTTGTTTTTTTTTTAATATCATGAATGGATGCTGGATTTTGTTAATACGTTTTCTGTGCCCATTAAGAGGGTCATGCCATTTTTCATTGTTTCTGTTTATGATATTGATTACATTTATTGATTTGCATATATTGAATCACTCTTGCATCCATGGGATGCAGCTTAGATGGCTTTGGTGTATCATCATTTTTATTCATTGTTGCCTTTTGTTTTCCAGTATCATGTAGATGATATTTTTCATCTATATTCATTAGAAAAGTTGACCCGTAATTATCGTTCTTGGTTATACATTTGCCTGGTATTGCAAACAGAGGTAATGCTAGCTTCCAAAAAGGATTTTGCTAGTACTCCTACAATTTGATTTCATTAAAGAGTTTTTGAGGAGCAGTGGTATTAGGTCTTTGTAATGGTTGACATATTGTGTCAAGATGAGCAGTTTAGAAGTTTGACTGAGTGATTCACCAGGGGGTCAGAGTTCTCACTTTTTTTATTTTAAAGAGATTCAGATAAAACAGGACATAACAAAGCAGATCAAAACAGGGCAATGTAAGCAACACAGTATTTCACCAGAAGACAACCCGTAATTAACAGTGACTACCATAGTGACTCTTTCTTTGAAATAGGTGAGCACAACTTCATATATGATAGTATCAGACATAACAAAATAGTATAAAACCATTCAAGAGAATGAAAGTATTACAGGGCATTCAGAACCAAGTAACAGAAAATAAACAATGGCTACTATATTATCTCATTTTCCATAGAAAAAGTGTTTATGCTATCACACATCATACAATCGAATAAGATACAACATGATAGAAGCAAAGGAAACAGAAGAGCAAATCTTGGTAGGACTTCAGAGTTAGATGATATTAAATCAATACTGGCTATTATGACTAGTTTTATTCAAAATAGCTGTTCATACCATCACAAGTAATAAAATCAAACAAAACAGGATAAACCCATTCCAATTAATGAATGCAATCATTATAAGGCTTCAAAGCAATGAAATGGGGAATCATTATTACCATAAACTCTTATGTACTCTTACCATTTCTTACACTAGGGAGACTATACAGTATTTATACATGTGAGTTTGATTTATTTTGCTAATGAGTATGGTCCCAAGTTGCACCCATTTATTTATAAATATCTCAATGTGATCCTTCTTTATAGCTGAGTAGTACCTCAATGTATAAAAATACCATAACTTTTTTATCCATTCCTCAGTTGATGGACACTTAGATTGTTTCCAAGATCTGGCTATTACAAATTATGCTGCTATAAATATGCGCGCACATACATCACTGTGGTATGATGTTTTCAGTTCTTCTGGGAATATGCCTAGAAGCGGAATAGCTGGGTCAAATGGGACTTCCAATCCCAGCTTTTTCAGGAAACTCCAGACTGACCTCCACAGTGGTTCCACCAGTCTACACTCCCACCAACAGTGCAGAAGAGTTCGTGCTTCCCCACAGCCCCTCCAGCATTTGTTGTTGGTGGTTTTGTTGATCCTGGCCATTTTTTCTGGAGTGAGATGGAATCTCAGTGTGGTTTTAATTGTCATTTCTCTAATGAGTAATGATGATGAACATTTTTTCATGTATTTATTTGCCATTTGTATTTAATCATCTGAGAACTGTGTATTCATCTCAGATGCTCATTTTTGGATTGGATCCTTGAATTTTGGGGGTCTGATTTTTTTAATTCTTTATATGTTTTAGATAGAAGTCTTTTGTCTGAGGGACAGTTCACTATGATTGTTTCCCACTGTGTAGGTTATCTTTTCACTATGGTAGAGATTTCTTTTGATGTGCAGAAAGTTTTTAATAGGACATGATCCCAGTTGTTGATTCTGGGAAGTATTTTCCATGCGATTTGATTCCTGTTCATGAATTCTCCACCTACCCCTATGGCTTCATGTTTTTTTTACCCGACTTTTCTTCCAATAAACTTAGTGTTTTTGTTTTAAGATTTAGATCTTTGATGCATTTAGATTTTAATTTGTTACATGTTGACAGGCATGGGTCTAGTCTTAGTTTCGGCGTATGGAGAGCCAGTTTTTCCAACACCATTTATTAAAGAGATTGACCTTCTTTCCAGTGAACATGTTTGGCCCCTTTATCAAAGGTAAGGTGGTTGAGTGTGTTGATAGTTGTGGTTATACTATCTATTCTATTCCATCTATTCCATTGATCTTCAGCTCTGTTTTTATTCCAGAATCATGTTGATTTTACTACAGTTGCTTTGTAGTATAACTTCAAGTCAGTGATTGTGATGCCTCCTGCCGTGGCTTTGCTGCTTAGAACTGCCTTTGCTATTTTAGATCTCTTCTGGTTCCAGATGAATTTTAGGAGTGATTTGTCTAGAACTATGAGGTATGTTAATGGCATTTTTTATTGGGATTGCATTGAATCTGTACAACAGTTTAGGGAGAATGGCCATTTTCACAATATTTATTCTTCCTACCCATGAACAAGGGATGTCTTTCCATTTTCTGAGATCCTCTTGAATTTCTTTTTTCAGGGTATAATAATTTTCCCTGTATAGATACTTTACTTCTTTCATAAGGTTGATTCCTAAGTATTCCACTTTTTTGGATGCTAGTGTGAAGGGTGAGGTTCTCTTATTTCCCTCGCTATGATTTTCTTGTTAGTGTAGAATATTGATTTTTGAGTATTGATTTTGTATCAAGCTACATTGTTCAATTTATTTATTGTATCTAGGAGTTTTTCAATGAAGTTTTGGGGATCTTCTATGTAGAGTATCACATCATCTCCAAATAATGATAATTTAACTTCCTCTTTTCATACTTTTGCTCCTTTTATTTCTCTCTCTTGTCTAATTGCTCTGGCTAGTATTTACAGTGCTACATTGAATAGGAGTGGTCATCACGGACATCGTTTTCTAGTGCCTGATTTAAAAGTAAAGGCCTTCAGTTTTTGGCCATTTAATATGATGCTGGTTGTTGTATTGTCATAGATGGCCTTTATCATATTGAGGTAAAGATCATCTGTTTTAAATTTCTGTAAGGTTCTTATCATGAATGAGTGTTGAACCTTATCCAGAGCTTTTTCTGCATCTATAGAAATGATCAAGTGATTCTTACTTTTTGGCTCTATTTATATGGTGGATTACACTTGTTGATTGATATATGTTGAACTATCCCTGCATGCCTGGCACGATTCCCACTTGGTCAACTTCTTGATAATTTGCTGCACCATGTTTGCCAATATTTTATTGAGGATATTTGCATCTGTGCTCATTAGGGAAATTGGTCTGTAGTTTTGTTTTTCAGTTGGGTGTCTTTCAGGTTTTGGTACTAAAGTAATATTTGCTTCCAGGAATGACTTAGGAAAAATTACTTCCCTTTCAATTTCATTAAAGAGTTTGAGGAGTGTCAGCATTAAGTTTTCTTTGTATTTCTTGTAGAAATCCTCAGTGAATCCATATGGGCCTGGGCTCTTTTTTGTAGGTAAGGACTTAATTAGATTTTCAATTTCATTAGTAGACATTGGCTTATTCAACAGTTTTACATCTTCTTGATCCCACTTTGTTACTTCATATGTTTCTAGGAATTTATCCATTTCGTCTGTGTTATCAAACCCATAAGAGTAGAGGTTTTTGAAATAGGGGTTGATGATCTTCTATATTTCCACAGAGTGTTTAGTGATTTCACCTTTTTCAATTCTTATTCCATGAAGGTGAGCTTTTTCTTTCCTTGTTTTACTTAGATTGGCTAGGGGCTTATCAATTTTATTTATTCTTTCAAAGAACCAACTCTTGGATTCATTCATTCTTTGGATTGTTTGCTTAGTCTCTATTGCAGTAATTTATCCTCTGATTTTTATAATTTTTCCCTTCTTTTAGCTTTGAGTTTGACTTGCTCTTCTTTTTCTAGATGTTTGAGGTGTAGCATCAGGTTATTTGTATTTGTTCTGTTTTCCTGATGTGGGAACTCAGTGCAATAAATTTTCCTCTGAGGACCACTTTCATTGCATCCCACAGATTGCTAAATTGTATTTGTATTTTTGTTTGCTTGTAGGTATTGTTTAATTTCTTCTTTAATTTCCCGTTACCCATTGATTGCTCATGTGCGTTATTCAATTTCCACATGTTTGTGTGGTTTTTTCAGTTTCTTTTATCATTAATTTCTAATTTCATGGTGCTATGATCCAATAACATGCATGGGATTGTTTTAAATCTTTTGCATTTATTTTAATATGTTCTGTGGGCTAGTATGTAGTCTATTTTGGAGAATGTCCCATGTACTGCCAAGAACAATGTATATTCTAATGTTGTTGGATGGAACATTCTGTATACGTCTATCAAGTCCATTTGTTCACAGGTGTGATTCATTTCTGGCATTTCCTTGCTGATTTTCTGTCTGGTTGATCAGTCCCTGGTGTCAATGGTGTGTTAAGGTCTCTTGTTATAATTGTATTAATGCTAATTTGATTTTTCATTTCTATTAATAACTTGTTTTGTATAACTGGTTGCTCTGAAATTTGGTGCATATATATTTAAGATTGTTATCTCTTCCTCTTGAAGTTTTCCCCTAACCTGTATGTAGCAACCTTCTTTATGTCTTTGAATCACTCTTGGTTTGAAGTTCACATTGTTTGCAAATAGAATATTTACTCCTAGTTTCTTTGGGTTCCTGTTGCATGATGGATTGTTTTCCATCCTTTTACTTTCAGTCAATGACTTTCCTTTTGGGTTAGATGGGTTTCTTGTAGGTAGCATATGGTTGGATGTTGTTTCTTGATCCATTCTTCCAGTCCGTTTCTTTTAATTGTTATATTGAGGCCATTTTTTAATGGTCATAACTGTTACACATTGGTTTATTGTTGACATGTTATCTTTCTGCTGTTCCATCTTTATCTTTCTTTTCTGTTTAATTTTCTGCCTTGCATAGTGTTTTTTTCCTAAGTGTATCTAAACTGTCAGTATTCTTTTCAGGTTTCACTATTTCAGTATTCTTTGCAGGGTTGACTTGGTCGTCATGAAATTTGTCAGCTGTTCTTTGTCACTGAAGTGTCTTATTTCTCCATCCATTTTGAAGGACAGTTTTTCATGGTACATCAGTCTAGGTTGGCAATCATTTTCCTTTAGGATATGAAATACCTCACTCCATGCTCTTCTTGACTTCAGTGTTTGTGTTGAAAAGTCTGCTGTGATTTTGATAGGCTTTCCTTTATAGGTGATCTCTCTCTTCTCTCTAACATCTTTTAATATTGTATTTTTATGTTGGATTTCTGGGATGGTGATTATTATAAATCTTGGTATAGTTTTATTTTGGTTAAGACTATGTGGAGTTCTATACGCTTCACTCATCCTAATGTCAGTTTCCATTCTCACGTTTGGGAAATTTTCGACTATTATTTCTGTAAATAGTCTCTTGATATGATTTGTTTTGTCCCCTTGTTTTTCATTTATCCCTATCAATCTTATGTTGTTTTTCTTTGAATCATCTTGCATCTGTTGAATTGTTATTTCCTGATTCCTTGTTATTTTTAGAGGATCTTTATTTCCTATTCAGTAGCTGCAATCTTGTCCTTGAGATCTGAAATTCTGTCTTCACTTTTGTTGAACCAGTTTTGACAACTTTCAATGGAATTTTTGATTTCCTGTATATCTCTTTAAATCTGCTTTATGTATTCTGTTTCTTTGTTGTATTGTCAATCCAGGGATTCTATCTTTTTGCTTTGTCCCTCTATTTTTTTTTAACTGTGTTTTCTTTAGATGCATTCAGCTTCTCTTTCATTACTTTTATGATTTCTTCTTTTACTTGGGAGATCATTTCTAGTTTGAATTCCTTTAAAGCTTTCTGGAGTTGCTTCTTTATTTCAGTTTCTATCATTTCAGGTATTTCAAGTGTATGGCATATATTTTCTTCTATGTACAAGGCTCTTAGTCTTGTGATGGACTGGATTGAGATTGCATTTTGGTCTTTCATTTTATCATTTTCCTATATTTCTGTATTTCAAGGCTTGTTCCAAAGCTTCCCCTGGGCCTGTTGGAAATTGTCTCCTATGTCTTGGTCTCCTGGGACTCCTCTGGCAGTGCTGCTCTTTTCTTGGCAGCAAAGCCCCTGGATTACAAGATAGTTCCTGGGCAAGGCCTAGACAGGCTCAAAGCTTCCTCCAGCAGCACAGCTCCCCCCTCTGGCAACGAAGCTCCCTGGACCAAAAGAAGTCCACCAGTCATGGTCTAGCCAGGCCCGAAAACCACTGAGCACAGTCCAGAGTGGACTCAATCCAGGCACGTCCCTGACCATCCAAAGCATGGTTCTCAAACTGTCCTGGTGCTTGGATGGTACACAGAAACCCACCTCGTTGGGTAGGGAAGCTCCCAGAACTGAAAGAAGGCCACCGGCATGGCCTAGGAAGGCCCCAAATCTCTGTCACAGCATAGCTTCTTCCTCTGGTGACAGTGGTGGTGGCAAAGTTCCTTGGACTGAGACTGAGACAAGGTCACTAGTGTGGCCTAGGCAGGCTCCAAACCTCCACCACAGTGCAGCTCCCTCCTCTGGCAGTGACAGCAGCAGCAAACTTCCCTGGACTCAGTTCTCACTTTAAAAAAATTTTTTTTTTATTTTAAAGAGGTTAAGACAAAAGAGGACATAACAAAGCAGATCAGAACAATGCGGCAATTTAATAGCATTTTACCACAAGACAACCCATAATTAACAGTAACTACCATAATGTCTCTTTCTTTGAAATAGTTGAGCATAGCTTCATATATGATAGTATCAAACATAACAAAACAGTATAAAGCCATTCAAGAGAATGAAAGCATTACAGGATCAATTCTCACTTTTTAAACATCCTCATTCTGCATAAGAGGAGGGTAGGGAGATGGTGTGATTGTTACACACACCCTGCATTGCAAGGTAGCCCGATTTCAATATAAGAGAAAAAATATACTTGTGTCCTCTCCTTTTTGCTCTTGCTTTTGCTGTCTTCTGCCTCCATGAGCTGTTTGAGAGTGAGTCCTTAGGTTATGTATTTTAATTTAGAGGTTTTTATTGCTGTATCAATTTAATTGTTACTAGATCATTAAGGCTTTTGAAATCTTCTTGGCTCATTTTGGTAATATTTACATATCTAATATTATATCCATTTATTCTGTATTTTCTAGTTTATGGCATACAGGTTGATGAAAATTCTTCTGGATTCTGGAGGGTGTTCATTGTGTTCTTATCTTTTTTGTTTATGTATTATGTTTTTTATTTTCCTTTTTTGTAAGATTAGCAAAGAATTTGTGTATTTTCTTACTCTTTTAAGAAACAAGGTCTTCAATTATTGGTTCTTTGAAACTTCTTTTTTTCACTTCATTGATTTCTGCTCTGATCTTTAAATTTTTCTTCCTTTAGTACCTCTGGATTTGGATTTTATAAGGTTTTCTGGAACCTTGAGATATATCATTAGTTATTTATTTAGTCTTGCAGTTTTTCTGATGTGAGCATTTCCAGCTATAAATTTACCTCTTAGGACTGTTTTTATTGTGTCACATAAGGGATAGTATGTACTTGCATTATCATTTTATTCTAGAAGCTGCCTTATTTCTTCCTTAATTTCTTATATGGCTCATTAAATATTCAACATTGTGTTGTTTAATTCTTTGCATTCACATAAATTATATGGTTTCTTTTGCCATTGATTGATAACTTAAATGAATATGCTCTCATAATGTGTGTTAGAAGATTTCAATTCTTTTGCATTCATTTAATTATGCTTTATTAGTTAGAATCTGAGTTATTTTAGAGAAAATTATGTATGTTGCCTCAAAAGAATGTATGTTGTGTTGTTAGGTGGAACATTTTGTATATACCTGTTAAATCCATTTATTCAAGCATTTGGTTTGATACTTTTTAAAATTAATTGTGTTGGTATATTTTAGATATTCGTAATGATAACACTCTTCACAGGGAATTTATACCCTTATGTGATGAATCTTGAGTCTTCTGTTTTCCCCAATGACCCTCCTCTCCCTTTAACACATTTCCCTTTCCTTATTTATGAAAGCTTTATTCCCATTTTTCCTTCTATTCTCTTTATTTTTGTTCTTTCCTTCTTTTTCCACTCCCTCTTTATGGTTCCCATTCATTTGAAAATTTTCTTCCTATTCCCCAATATGTATTATGTATATTGGTCCTTATTTACTCTTTTGGTTTTTTATACCAGAGAGGAAATGTGATATTCAGAAATGTGTGTCCAATTTATTTCACCTAAGAGTATAGTATCAATGTGCATCCATTTACCAACAAATATCTCAAGTCTATTCTTCTTTGTGGCAGGGTACTACCTATTTTATTAAAATAAAACCCACATTTTCTTTATCCATTCTTCTGGGAATTTGAGCTGTTTGCAAAATTTAAATACTACAAACTATGCTGCTATAAACATGTATGTCTATATAGCTCTATGGTATGAGGCTTTTAATTCTTTCAAAGACGATACCAAGAAGGTGAATAGCTGGGTCAAATGGAACCTCTGTTAACATAACCAAGAACAAAAAACACATGATCATCTGAATAGGTGCAGGAAAAGAATTTGAAAAATAAAACATCATTCATGATTAAAAGAAACCCTACAGAAAAGTAGAATAGATGATCTTAATCTCAATGTGATAAAAGTTGTCTATGAAAAACCAGTAGCCAACATCATACTAAATGGTCTCAAATTGAAATCTTTCAATGTAAAATGAGGAAAAAGGCAAGTGCATCTAATATCACCACTCATACTCAAGATAGTTCTGTAAACAATATTCAGAGCAATTAGATAAGAGAAAAAAATAAAAGGAAAAGAAGAGATAAGAAAGAAGTTAAATCATAATTATTTGCAGATGACATGATATTCTGCATGCAAGACTCCAAAAGCTCTACCAAAAATTTCTAGATTTAATACCCAAATTCAGTCACATTGCTAGATATAAAATCAACATTCAGAAATCAGTGGCATTCATGTATTAAAAAAACAAACTCACCAATAAAGAAATTAAGGAAACAATGCCTTTCACCATAGAATAAGAAATGAAACACATGCAAGTCAATCTAATTTGGAAGTAAAAATACTTTACATTGAAAAATAAAGTATTCTGAAAAAGAAGGTGGAAGAGGATACTAGAAGATGGAAATATATCTATATTTCTTAGTAGGAAGGACCAATATAGTTAAAATGGCCATAATTATAAATTTTATACAGTTTCAATGCAATTTTGATTGAGATACCAATAACATAACTTGTAGAATAAGAGAAGGTAATTCTAAAATTCGTTTGGAACCAGAAGACACGTAGAGTAGTAAAAGCAATTCTGGGCAACAAAGGCAAGGCAGAGAGGAACATCACAATCCTTGACTTGATATTATACTACAAAGATACTGTGATAATAACAGCATGATATTGGCAAGAAAACAGCTTGGAGGATCAATGGAACAGATTGGAAGATGTAGAAACAATTCTAAAAACACTCAGCTATCTTATCCTTGACAAACTGACCAAATATAGTCACTGGAAAAAAGCTAATGTCTTCATTAAATGGTGCTGCTTGTACTGGCTTTCCATATGCTGAAGATTAAAACTAGACATACTCTCACCACACTCTAAAATCAGAATGGATCAATAATGTAAATTTTAAAACAGAAACACTAAATCTGTTATAAATAGAATAGATATAACTCTTGAGGACATAGGTGTAGGAAAACACTTTATGTAGAAATCCCCGACCATATAGGAGATAGCACAAAGGATCAACAACTGGTATCTCATCTCATCTTTTTCACAGCAAAAGAAAACACCAGAAGAGTGAAAAGTCACATCACAGAGTGAGAAATTTTTTTCCAGCTTTTCCTCAAAGTTCTAATGTCTAGAATATATAAAGAACTAAAAAATTAAACTTCCAATATTTAAAGACCCAATTCAAAAATATGCATCCAAAATTAATAGACACTTCTCAGAAGGAGAATTAGGAATGGCAAATAAATATGTGAAAATATGTTTAGTGATCATTCAAGAGAATCAAATTGAAACAACACTGAGATTCCACCTCACTCCAGAAGGAATGACTATTATTAAGAAATCAATCAATAACGAATGCTGGCAGGGTTGTGGGGAAAAAAAAAAAAAAACCTCTTCTCCATTCTTGGATGGAGGGTAAGGTTGAGCAATCACTGGAAATCAGTGTGGATATTCTTTAAAAAACTAGAAATTTCATTTGACCGAGCTATTACTCTTCTTGGATCAACTCTTATGTTTTTTGTTGATCTTTTGTTTAGTAGACTGATCTATTTGTGACAGTACTGTGTTAAGGCATCACGGTATAATGGTGTTACTTTTTATGAGGTATTTTTGTGTCCAACAGTGTTTGTTTTTATAAAGTTGGTGCACTGTAGTTTGGTGCCTGTATGTTTATATTGTTATTTCTTTCAGTTGAATAGTTCCCTCAACCAATGTTTAGTGGATATTTTTCCTCTTACCAGTTTTGTTTTAAACTCCACTATTCAGAATATAGGATAGCCACTCCTGTCTCTTTTTGGGTTCCAACAGCAAGGAACACTGTTTCCCATTCTTTGATTTTTTATGAATTTTTTTGATTATATATATCACAGCCATTTATTTTGTTTCTACACCCATTCTGCTAATATATCTTTTGATTTGTGAATTGATATCACTAACATTGACAATTTTGGCCCTTTCATAGAATTGGCACCATGCATGGGTCTCTGAGGAGACAGCTAGACACCAGCCTTTTTCCATGAGTCAGCATCATTTGTAGACTGTAAGGGAAGAGAACAAGAAGTCACCAAGAAGCAAGCCCTCCCTGTGAATCAGCACCAGGGTTAGGCTGCTGGGTTGACAGCCAGATGTCAGCCTTTTCCTGTGAGTCAGCACCACTTGAAGATTGTGGGGGAAGATGATACCAAGAATCAAGCCCTCCCTGCAAATCAGTACCATGTGTAGGCTGATGGGTAGACAGCTAAGATGCCAGCCTTTTTCTGTGGGTGACTGCAATTCATGGACTGCAGGGGAAGAGAACAAGAAGTCAACAAGAAGCAAGCCCTCCCTGTGGCCCAGCACCATGCATGGGCCACTGCAGTGAGAACCAAATGCCAGCTCCTTCTGGTACATAGACTGAGAAACAATAAGAGCCAACCTTTCCCAACCCTGTCATAAGCAACTGGATGATCTGTAGAAACAGAGGCTGCAATGATAGCTATTGAAGGAAAATAGAATTTAGTGCTTATAATGTTTAGTCATTTACTGACTTTGCATGTCAAAACCATCTATTCATCTGGTCATCTATTCAGAAGGATAACAGTACACAATGTAGCTTCCACATTGTGCAGTAGGGGATCTCCTTCTGAGAGTAGTAGCCACTGTTAATGTCCTATCATTTTGTTTTGAAGTACTGTATCATTTTTATTGTTTGGGGGGTTTTATTCTGTATCGCTTTGTTTGATCTTATTATATCTGATAGCATGGCTGGCAGTTTCAAAGATAACAAGATATATTATGGTAGCCATTTTGGATTTACTCTTATCTTGCTTTGAAGTCATTTATTGCATTAATTGTTTTGTTTTTATTTGATTTCTACTGTGTCTGAAAGTGTATGCAGCTATTTTCAAGACAGTAAGAAGTATTATGGCGAACATTGTTGATTTCCTATTGTTTTAAAGTTCTGTGTCACTTACACTGACTTGTTTTGATTGGCTATATTTTGTTTTATTTTTCTTGGTTTTATTCTCATTAAAATAAAAACAAAACAGAATCATCGATAGTTCTAACTGATGGATATTGACTTATGCATATCATTGTATTTTCCCCCACTACTGATTTTTTCACTTATCCTTAATTGCTCACCCTACATGATACATTTATTCTATTAGACAACTTGGCATTGTTAGCTGCTGTTTCTCTTTGTAGTGACAAAGGACTATAATTTTCAAAATTCTTTGAAAACTTTGGGGGATGATGGTTTGTTCATCATGTGTTTTTAGGTGCTTTTTATTGTGAAAATGTCTTGTTTCTCCATCAATTTCTAAAGGTAATTCTGCAGGATATATCACTGTGCTTGGAAGTGGTTTTCTGTTAGGGTGAAACAACTCTATGTTCTTCTTGCCTTTAATGATTTTGATGAGTGGTCTGCTATAATTCTGGTGAGATTTCCCTTATGAGTGACTCATTGCTTTTATCTAACAACTTTTAAGATTATATATTGCATTGGAATTCTCATATTATGAATAAAATGTATCATGGATTTGTTCTTTTTGGATCCTGACTATTGGGGGTTATATATATATATATATATATATATATATATACTTCTGTATGAAAGTTTTTATGTCCTTTGTGCTCTCTTTCCACTTTTTTATTTTAAAGAGGAAATAAGATAAGAATAACAATAAAACAGATTTTTAAACCAGGCTAGTAGGATAGTTACAATAATAAATACATCGTGTCTTGTTATTTTCATAGTAGTTATTCAGAGTAAAACATATAGGCATAATATCTTGCCCAAACAATTTTAGCATGAGCATTTCTTTTCAATGAACTAAGAGAAACTAGTTATATAAATATCTAACTAGCTTGTGCATATCTATATCTTTTTATTTTTCTCTTTCTACCTTTCCCCTTTTCTCCATGTCAGTTTGTCTCTTGAACAGTATCTTCCTGGTTCACAGTATCTGTTGTACATTTTGGATTTTATTTACTCCTTCTAATGCTAGTGAAACAATACAATGTTTACACTTATGGGCCTGATTTATTTCACTTATGAGTGTGGTCTTGTATTGCGTTCATTTACCTATAATAGTCTCCAGTTTATCCCAATTTTGAACCCTGTAGCACTTATGGGTTGCATTTATCATATTCTCTAGCATCTTCTGGATCCATTTGTCATGTTCTCTTGGGTTTGATGGTATGTCTTTAATTTATCAACAAATCAGCCCTGTGTTCTATGTATGACACTCTGTCCTCACATTTAATTGCTTCTGCTGCCCATACTTTCAATAATAGTTTTAATCATGAATATCTGTTTATAATTGTCTTACGTACTCCAGTTATTTTCTATGCTAAGAATTCATGCCTTGTACCTCTTTATTTAGCTTTGCTACTTTTTCTTTACTGCTTTCTGTAGATGCACTGATCATTTGTTTCTTCAAGATCATTTTTTATTTTATTTATTTTTTATTTGTTTTTCTACCTTCTTTTTAATCATTGAGCATGTTATTGGTCAGTTTTCTTACTTTTACTGTTATCCTTTCTGATATTTCTATTGTTAAACTTTTGAGTTTATTTCCTTCCATGCGCCCTTTGGTTGGTTTTAGCAGATTTGGGAGTTTTTGGAAGCCTTTTATTTCATTTTTTCATGTTTATGTTTTTGTATGCTTGTTTTCTGTGCTGTTTTTGTGATGTGGGCATTCATTTTTATGTTTCCATTTAAGACAGCTTTTAATGTTTCCCATCTGTCCTGATAATTATAAAGTGATAGCTTTACTGCTAGTATGGAGAATTCTTTCATTACTGTCTACTTTTCAGAGATATCATCTGCACATGGCTAATTCTTCACCTTTGTTTCTGCCACAGGATCCACACACTTCCATTTACTTGTGAGGGGAGGTTGCTCCTTCTTTGGCCCCATGCCATTTCTTCAGAAATGAAGCACAATTGTGTTTATGACACACAGGCAACCCAAATAGTTGCATGCAGAAAAAATTTGATAGCAACATCTGTGTCATCTTAAGTGTAGTCATAAATCAGCAATAACAATAGCATCACATACAAATCAGATATTATATACTTTCATAACCAATCATGTACTAAGCTTAATCATAGCAAAGAAATCAATGATTATAGTGCAAACACTAAGAAACCAGAATTGATCTACAATAAATATCTGCTCAGTTGAACAACTTTACTTCCACAAAAATAGAACAGTGTTCAAACATAGTAAGATATACTTTATTGTACCCAGATTCATAACACATGATAGTTATAGTAGTGAGTATAAAATTTTCAGGAAAGAAAAGCATTATGTACTAGAATTTTAGAGATTGGGCAGTGGAAGCGAAGAAGTTGATAAAAGTGAAATAAAATATCTTATTAAGGAATAAAAGAAAATTAGAAATAATAGATAACAGAAAAAAGCAACAAAATCAATTAAAAGTAGAAATAAAAATAACAAGTAAACTAAATTTATTGATTTATTGATTTTAAAGAGAAAAAAATCAAGTGAAATAAAATAGAGTCAATCAAAACAAAACAATGAGTATGATATGACTTCAACCAGGATAATAGGAAAACAACATTTATCATAATGCCTTTTGTTATCTTCAAAGTAGCTGTCTATACTATTACACATAATAAAATCAAATAAAACAAAATTGAATAAAATCAATCAGAAGAAATCAATGAAAACACTACAGGCTTTCAAACAAGATAATAGGAGATCAATAATAGCTACCATAATATATTTTATCTTGAAATAGCTGCCCATGTCATCAAATGTAATAAAACAAAACAAAGCAAAACAAAACAAAATAAAGTCATACTAAACAGAACAATGAAAACAATACAGGATTTCAAAACACAATTGATTAACAATGTCCATCGCTTCACTTTTTAGATATTTCCCTCCTTTCACTTTCACGATATCTATTTTGCATTTTTTTTTATTATTTTATTTAAGAGGAAAAAGAGAAAAACACAAAACAAAACAAAGCAGTGTAGGGGTACACGTAATACAGAACTACAAAAAAATATAACAGTAATAAATCACCTGTTAATAGATTACATATTATCATCTTGAAAATAGTTGCTCAAATCACAGTATCAAAGAATACAAAGTGGACATTCAAACAAGGAGACTGCAAACAGCTGTGTTCAATGATCCAAAAACATTGATATAGTCAGCTATTTAACACCCCTAAACACACTTGCTGTTATATCCGTTAGAGCTCTTATTTTCCCCCCTCTCTTTTTTACAACAAAATTTACACATTTTGGATTTTATTACTCCTTAGCTCTTAATACTTTTTTTTTTGGGGGGGGGAATCAGTTAAATATGGCAAAACAAAGCTGTCAGTCAAAACCAAGGATAGACATAGCACATGGTGTAGAACAGAGTACAAGGTTATCAACAATGGTTATCAACGTTGTCTCTTGTTTCCTTAAAAAGAATTGTCTATCTCATTAGATATTATAAAGTTGGACAAAACAGTAGAGAACAAGACCAATAAAGCTTAGGCATTGTAAACATTACAGGACTTCCAAAGGAGACAATAGTCAAACCAGAATGGGCATCTTAGTGAATCATATTGCCTTCAAAGTAGTTGCCTATACCCTCAAACTTGATACTATCATACAGAATGGAACAGAGTCTAATCAGTCAAAACAAGATCGTGGGAGCACTACAGGACTTCAAAACAAGTTAATAGGAAATCAAATAGAGTTACTATTATATATCCTAATTTTTAAATTTTTCCCCTTAATTAAGACAACCATAAGAAATAACTGAATAATTTTTTTAAAGAATAAGGGGGAGATTGAGATAAAACAGGACATAACATTATAACAATAGAGGTCAAAGCATGACCGTTTCAGCAACGTAGTGCTTCACCACCAAATAACCCGACTTAATAGTAGTTACCATAGTCTGTCTTTTTCCTTGAAATATTTGGATAAAACTATTTTGCATTTTGGATCCCACTAACTAATTTAATTTTTTATACTAGGGAGACAACGTGATGTTCATCCATGTCACTCTGAACCATTTCAGTCGTGAGTATGATCTCAGCTTGTATCCATTTTCCTAGAAGAGCCTCAACATTACCTTTGTTTATAGCCGAGTAGCTTTCCATTGTATAAAACTGCCATACCTTTCTTATCCATTCTGCAACTGACAGACATACTACCCCTACTTTTTTCTGGCTCCCTGTCACAAAGAGAATTTTTTTCTCTCCCTTGACTTTCAAGTTAATTGTGTTTATTGTATAAATCATATTGGTGGATCCTGTCTACAGATCCACCCTGCCTGTGTTTCTTACTATTGATGAATTGAGGCAGTCTACATTAATAGTTATGGCCAACATGTACAGTATTATCTCTGCCATGCTATTTTACTACCATTGGTTGCCTAAATTTTTCCTCCTTTCAGCTGTCTTCCCGACTTAGTGATTCCCTTCTGTCACTGTTCCTGGAATGGTGGTCATTTTCATCTCTCTCTAGAATGTCCTTCAGTATTCTTTGTAGGTTTGGTTTGGTGGTCATGAATTCCTTCAGTTGCATCTTGTCGTGGAAACATCTTGTTTCTCCATTAATTTTTGAAAGATAGTTTTTCAGGGTACATCAATATGGATTAGAAATTGTTTTCTTTCAGGATTTGAAATGCTTCACTCCAAACTTTTCTTGATTTGATAGTTTATGTTGAGAAGTCTGTCGTGATTCTGATGGGTTTTCCTTTACAGGTGATCACTTTCTTTTCTCTAACAGCTTTTAATATTCTGTTATCTTGCCAAATTTCTGGGATATTGATTATTATATATCTGAATGTCAATTTATTTTTGTTATGGCTAGCTGGAATTCTATATGCCTCACTTATCTGAACGTCACATCTTTTTCCTAAACTTGGAAAATTTCCCAAAATTATTTTTGTAAGTAGACTTTTTATGTCATTTGGTTGACCCTTGCTTTTTCACTGACTTCTATTACTATTAAATTAGTTTTCCTTGCATCATCTTGAAGCCATAGAATTGATATATCCTTGTTCCTTGTTATATTTAAGAGGTCTTTCCTTTTGCAATCACTAGCTGAAAACCTTTCTTCAAGGTCTGAAAGTCTAACTTCGGTTTCTTTCCATTTGCTTTGCCATCTTTCAATAGAGTACTTCCAAAAGGTTTCCTGCCAGAACCCGCAGTCTTCGTGATCAGCAAGTCATAGTCCTCTTTACTCTGATTCATAGCCTGTTGGTTTGTGGGGTGATCCTTCAGTTTAAGAGATCACCTATTTTTAAGCCTCAGATCATAACCGTTGTAGTCACAGGTTGCACGGAGAACAAGACAATACAGCACACATAATTATAGTATTATTTATAATGATCATCCAAGAGTTAAACATGAAGAAAGTTCAGAAAGTTTTCCCATACAATAAAGAGCTAGATAATCCAGCTGAGGGGATGGCTCCCAGAGCATTGTCTTGCATGAGTCCAATTGAAGACCCAGAGCTCATAATAATGCCACATATGAGTCCAACTGGAGGTCT